TTGAGAGGAGAGCCTTTTTTTGTGTGTAGGATCTCCCCCCCCCCACACCCTTCTTCCCCGTTTGCACATGTTTGGGTTGCAGTCGTCGTTGGTGGATCATGGTGGAGATGGAAGAGCTCATTGTTAATCATATCTGACGCTTTAAAATTGTTTTGCATGTGTGTTTATATTCGTTTCTAATTCCTCAGTTTTTGTGAAGGATCTGTAAAAGATGTCTTGCCATGGACGTGCCTAAAATCTATAATAGTCCAATTCCTCTGCCTTTAAGAGCCCGACTAACTTAGCACGGTTGTGTAAAGCCGACACCTTAAATCTATGAAATTGGTAACATGTTCTCCCGGATCCGTAACTTCTCAAAGCAGATGTATTTACTGTCATCGGTAATGAGGCGATTTAAATCGTGTCCTGAAAATTAAGCAAATTGGACTTATTTGCGTATTCATTGCTTACACAAAGGTTACAATTTACATTTGAGGTTAACCCCATTGGGTTCCGGTTTTTTGTGCGGAAGTTGTAATGGTATTCTTATTGGGGATTTGAATGATTAAGAAACCAATGACTTGCATTTAAATGTCTTGTCTTCTGGGTTTAATATATACTACAATATAATTTTCTCTTTTAAATACAATTAAAATTGGAAGAATTTGACAACAAAACGCCTTGACGGAGACGTACTACAATTTGAAATTAGCCGTGAATGCGTGTTTTAAAAACGTTCTCTCCGTGTGGGAGCGCCTGCGTTACAAACGGCCGGGGCTTCCGTTCCTCGGCGTCCGCCCGCGCGCGTTGTTGCGCCGGGTGACGGCAATCGCGCCGGAGATGGCGGCGCGATACCCCGGCGGGCAGGAAGCCGGCGAGGGGGGGCCCCCGAGCCCAAGGAACCACGCGCGCCCGCCCGCCGGCGCAGAACGCTCGCACCGGGCCCCCGCGCGCGCTCTCGCCAGGTGGCCGCCGCCGCCGCCGTTTGACCGCGCTTCGTCCACTCCGGATCGATGATGTGACCCGTTGCGGTTTGAAAGCGAAACGCAGCGGCAGCACCGCCTCTTGATGTCCGCCGCGGCGGCTAATAGATGCGAGAAATTCTGGGTCACGCGGCTCCCGCTTACCGGGCTTTGTTCCGAACGCTGTGCGGCCGAATCGCCCAATAGAGGAACTTTGAGCGAAGTACCCCGATTAACGAGTCTGTATTTTCCGTGATACCTAGATTGTCTGAGAGATTAACGCAGTTACATATTATCGTGCCATGTTTTAAGGATTGATGTGTACAATAACGTGCCTATATTTCATCCATTCTTTCATTTACGTGAACAATTTAAAACACAAACATCCAGGCCTGACCTCGTGACGCATTTTGAACATAGGAAAAAGGATTCCCGAAGTGCGAGGGTTCGAGCGGGCGTGGTGGTTACGCCGAAACGAATGCAAACGGTTGCAAATGACTGCCTTCATTACACGTGTTGGGCGAGATCTCGTTACGCATTGCTATCGTCGCGGCTGACAGGTCGCCGAACAGCGTTGCAACGTCTCCACCTGGCTCGTGCCCGTCGCGAAAGCGCGTGGGCTCGTTCCAGTGTACCTGAGTGGCGGCGCGCGGCGGTGGAAGGGACGCGGCCCAGCCAATAGCGATATGATTAGGTTTTCCGCGCATCGATGCGCGACTGAACGTTGTCGATAGAATTTGCTGGAACCACGGGGCGGGCCGTTTAAATGAATGAGGTTACACGGAAAATTACTCCGTCATTGCCTCGTTACGTGCGTCGCGTGCTACTGTTGCTTTTTATGTTTTGGTACCTTTACATATTCTACCTATTTCCAGAAAATGTTACTGTAGTTAAATGGCTTGAATTACGTGCGAGTTTTGCCTTTTGAATAAACTATAATTCTTTTAACAACTATGAATTACGTTTAATACGACGTTTGACGAGGGAGATCATTGCTACAATGCCAATTTGTGGGATTTTCTGACCAAAGACGTCTCAACAGACACATACGGGTGTAATTTTTAACTTGTCTCGAGAACGCTTTAACGAGTATTTTATTTAGTGGATAGAAATTGTAATCTAGTATTGTCGGGGCACATGAAAAGTAACAAGTGTCAAAAAATGCCAAACAACGGTTTTGATCCAATGTTTAGCAGTCTTTTATTTCTGGGCCCTTTGTACGCGCTTTCTTGCGACTTAGCTTTATGGACATTTTTGTGAAAATGTACTCTTCTAAACATTTTCTTCACTTTACTAAAATATTACTATTTTTGGTATACCATTTTCCTGTGCCTCGACAATGTCACAAATGACAATCTTGAATTTTTGTTAATACGTTGTAGAAAAGTTGTAAGTTCTGGCGCCAAGAGCGCCTATTTCAAGGTTGTGTATTTTATTAATGTCTGTAATTTCAAGTCACATAAATCCCGAAAGCCTGGGAGTGGAGAGGGCGTAGTCTTATGTGATCAGTAAAGGATGTCAGCCCCCGCATTGTGAAGTCTAATACAATTCATTTCTGCCTTCGGGCCCGAGGTAACTCAAATTCATTAGCCACATCCTCAAAAGGAATCGTAAAAGTGGTAGAACATTCGGTTTCACGCTTGCTGAGCAGCAGGTT